CGGGGTCCCTGTTTTTGTTTGTTCCTCGTTGTTGTTATTGTTGTTGGTGGTGGTGGTGGTGGTCTTGGTAGCGGTAGTGGTAGTCGTAGTAGTCGTATAGTCGTCGTAGTCGTCGTCGTAGTAGTAGTAGTAAGCAGGAGGAGGAGGAAGGCAGGAATGCAGGTCGGTAGGTAGGCAGGTAGCCAGGTAGGTAGTGTAATTAGTAGAAGTCGCACATGCAAGTAATTATATTGTAGTACTTGCTCGTTGCTTGGAGCAAACCCCCTGAATCGGTCCGCTCTGGCGCGTGCGCAGCTGTCATTATTAAAGTCCTGTTCCTGTGCGTCAGGGGTGCGGTCACTCAGCTTGCCTGCAAATCCCCAGACTCCGAAAATACAGAAACAGCCCGCTGTATGTTGGCCTCAGGCGGCACAGCACCCAAAAAATCAAGGCAGGGGCTTGGCCTTCTCAAGCGTGGTACTCAAAAGCCATGCAAGAATCGAAACCCGAAGTCCTACTTCGAGGTTCAGGGTAGGGGGACTTGACTTGCTGAGAGTGAGAAGGGTATCAATACGGCAATAATTCTGCTTGGGAGTACTGACTCTTGCAATCTAGAGTTACAACCCACTTACTGAGTCCCCTGACCCTCTTCTTAAAATGCCAAAGCCCCGTCCTAGGAACCTCTCACAACGGTCCTCCATTGACCGACGAAGACATCCCCATCGGCATGCGTGAACTGGCCCAAGCCCTGTCTTTCGAGGCAGGGCTTGGAAGCTTCGAGGTTTCAAGGCTTACGGCTCAGAGTTTAGAGCGTGTGGTTTGGAGTCAAGAGCTTTAGCTTTGACGTTCTAAGCAAAACGCACCCTAATCAACTCCTGAAGGTATCCTCTTAGAATTTCATCTGAAAACCTGCACAATGGCGTCGGGAGGCCAAAGCTCGTCTACCTTCGCCTTCCCTTCTTGCAGCACCTAAATATCGGAAATCATATTAACAATATTCGGGGTTTTCCCAACACAAACACCAAGGACAAATCCCTGCAACATCCATGCACACACACACACACACTCACACACACTCACACCCCTCAACCCAGAAGAATCTCCTAAACAGTAAACCCTAAGCGCTAAACCCTAATTCCATGCCCCACGGCCGCTGTCATACTCCAAAACCCTGAACCCTCACCCTGTCATCCCTAAACCCCAAAATAGAACGTCTAAACACTGACACCTTACACTGGACGTACACCTTACATTCCATACCCACGTCCTGCTACACCAATGTTCTTCACGATCCCTATATGCCTTTATCCCTATTCTAAACCTGGCCTTTCATAAGCAAAAAAAGGGGGCTACAGACCGAATTTGCAGGATCCTGCATACGAGAACCCCCAAGCAATGTGCCCACTGTTTTCAATGAACAACACCCAGCTTGCCCACCCCTGATAAAGGGGTCTCGAACAATGAAAACTAGTATCCGTGTTCTAATCTCGACATCTATGTAGCATCATGTACCCGAAAAACCTACTCTAATTATTCAGGCGGCCCCTGCATGTACCCCTATCCCCACGTGAAAGCCTCTGCAGCGTTGTTGCGCCAATGACCTTCAAAGGCGGCGCCGTCGGGCCAGTCCTGTCGGCCTTGGTGCTTTGAGCGGCTAGGGCTCTTCGGTTAAAGTTAGGGCTTAACAAGACATGCCAGCATGGGCTCCATAGTGGGGCATACGACGGGGACTTGTACTAAGACTCTTCAAACGGTGTACAGGCGTGAACCTCTATCTCGAATTCTGGGGGTTGTCAGGCGTGTAGCTGGGGTTGTAATGTGCACGCCTATCGGGTTTAAGGGTCATGGCCTTGGGACGTGGGAAGTAGCATCAGAAGTGTTTACAAGGTTTACGGCTTACGGCTTAGGGATTAGGACTTGGGGTTCGACCTCCGTGCTCCTACTCCAAGCCCTCCACAAGCAACATGGAACACCTGAATATTCCCAAGCCCCAAGCTCAATTGCCAACGCTCGACCCACAAATAAAAGGCGAAAGCTGCCCCTCCTTAAGTTCGTTGAGGCCGGTGGCACTATCATAGGCCTCGGATGTGTTAAATACTTTTGCTGCGCCTACATCCTCAGCTAACTGGACTCTTTTCGCATCCAAATTCCCACGGTTATGGCGTCTTAGAGTCTTAGGTCTCTCTAAAGGGGTGCTGGTTTAGACCTTCTGCTACCCCCACGGCTCAACAACACTTGAGCATGGGTTAGGATTTAGGCTTCAGGGTTTTCGTGCAGGGCTCAGGGAGTACTGCTTAGGGATTCGGGGTTGGGGGTTAAGGGTTTAAGGTTAAACACGGCCCCGGCCTTCAACCAAACCTTAGGGCATTTTGTAAACCCTGAACCACAAGCCCCAACCGTATTCTCGCTTCGCACCATTCCCTGCGCAGCCCGCCTAGTCCGTGGCGCTTGTTGTTCTGCCACTGGCCCTTGTACGTCGCCCCTGCACGCGCGGGATAGCTTGGGCTTAAAGATTAGCTGTAGAGTAGAAGCCAGAAAGTTGGAACATCATTATCCTCATGCCCTTAAGTCAAGTATAGCGGATCCCAGCACTAATCATCCTAAACCCATGTTCTAACTTTCTGGGCTTCACTTTAGTTTTGGGACAGGCGAGATCGGGGCGATTTAGACGAATGCCTTCCTGAAGTGAAGCCGCAAGCACTAAACCCTAAATCCTGGTTGACTTAAAGCTTACGGATGACCGTGAGGTGCATGCTTGTTGCACCAGGTGCAGCCTACCCACCTGTTCAGGGGTACGGTTTTAGTGCAGCTTTTCGCGGGGTCACTCCATGTTGGTGGTCCATTGCTAGACTCTGCTATACTGCTAGATACATAAAACCATAGACCTCGCAAAACTCTAAAGCCTAAAACCCTAGACCGGTAAAGCTTGAGCCCTGAGTCCTGCGCACTAAATCCTACAACCGCCCCATGTGCGGACCCGAAATCCTAGACCCCAAACCCCATGCAAGGGTCGAAAGAATTGACTGGGGCTTCCTCTTGGAGGCCCCTAGATTTTGGACTTCATGGAGGTGGTTAGTTTAGGGTGGGGCAGGGTCGGTGGTTTAGGGATCAGGCTATAGGGGAGCAGAGTTCGAGGTTCTGGGATTTCACTCGAGATCTTGCATGCACCGTCAATCTATGCTATGGCAAGGAGCTTCACGAATACTTTGGTCTTTCCGTTAGGGGGCGGACAAGCTGAGGGCTTAGTGCTTGACGTTTATAGAGTTTCGGGCTGTTTATAATCTGGTTTTGGGTTTCAGGCGGTCCATACTTTTATGAGAGATCATGACATCATAGTCGGCGATTCGGAGGAAACTTCTGGCTCGAAAACCTAAGAGTCGGACGTCGCACTGCGGATGTCTTTTCTCCGGGCTTGCTTGCCGCCTCTTAAGTATAAAGTTGAAACTCCCTTGAAAGCACCGCCAGCGGCCAAAAGGCGTCTCCTTCGTGCTTTGTTGTATGCTTGCACGAAACCTGCTCACTCAAACTCTGCTACACATTAAGCCCAAACCTGAAGCCCACACCGCAAGCCCCACCATCTCCAAATCCATGAAAGCAAAATGCAAAGCAGCCCATGACATGCAAGTCCCGGATACTGTTTGCATAGAGCTGTCAAGCTACAGCCTACACCGCCTTCTCAGTTTCGAAATCATGCTAGGGTCCACAAGCATACCATGTAACACCCCATATCTCTCCTTGAGAAATTCTTGCTATCGCAGATACTGTCGCTCATATCAACATCCTCAACTCCTGTACACGGCAGACAGGAATGAGCTGTACACCATCAGAGTCGGGCCCTTCTCAGACCCCTAGCTACCGCTGCGGTCTCTGCGTCGGCGGTCACGATCCCGACCTGGACAGGGCAAGGAAGTAGGCCTTTCAGAGGAGAGGTTTAGCAGGTTTTGGGTAGTAGGCTTCGGAATTCGAAGATGAAGCTAAGCTAATGCGTCTTGGGGAACGCCCGACGGACATCCTGTGCACCTGATGCATCACAACCTGCGTCCGCATCTTGCAGTAGACTTTGAAGTGTCTGGGGTAGAACAAGAATTGGAACCAGTTGGAGTTTTACAGAAGCTCACCAACATTTGCGACCGCTGCAGCTTGAAATACTTGCATGCTGAGGGTTGAAGCGCTCATCTGAAAGATGAAATAGCCCTCACAAGCAGGGCCTCATATCCTGCATCACCCCTACGAGCCCGTATAGAGTAAGCTCTCCCAGGGTTCATCTGCAGCCCCAAAGCATCAGAAAAGCCTCGCTCTGACCGGCTCCTCCGCCGGCGGTCGCGACTTCGTTCCTGGCTTCAGGTTTATATATAACCCTAAACCCTAAATCCCCAAACCCCAAATCTTATAGGGTTTACCCCCAGGGTCCTAGGAGGCCAGAGACCTCCTAAGGAGGTACCTGGATCCTTAGGGTAGGGAGGTGGGTTTTCTACAATAGGGTTTGGTATCAATGTGTTGGATCAACGACAGGTCCAAAATCCTGAGATGAAGTTTAGGCTTTCGGGCTTAGGGTTTGACTGGTATTCAAGCCACAACAAGAAGCAATTTGGTTTTCTACGTAAACCCCAACTCATATTCCCTATATCTCTCCATAAACTGCTTGGAGCATTCACAGTCTTTACATCTTAAGCTCCTAGGCCTCTGCTTTTTGGGGTGTTCTTTCTAAACTCGAGGTTTTTCAAACTTGAGGTATCCGACGAAGAAGTATAGGTCATGAAAGGGCTTGAAGCCCCGGGCCGTGCTGTTCTTTCTCCCAAGGCCCAAGGCATCTGCAAGAGTTGATGAGTCTGGTAGCCTGGTGTTTCGGCTTTGATCACAATCCTCGACCCCCCAAACCAAAAACCCCTGAGACCTAGCTAGACCCCAAGAAACCCTCAAACCCTGCAGACCTACAAAACTCTAAATCCTGAAATACCCTTAGGCCCTAAACCCCACCCCCCTACCTCCAAAAACTCTAGACCCGAAAACCTGCACTCGTAGCCAGGCCTTGTTCCGACGGTCACCGCGGTCTTTCTCCTGGCTGCGCTCTTTGTCACCTGCCCCGCCAAAGGACGGAGGACAAACCCCCAACCCTAAACTCTGCTTAACCCTCCTAAACCCCTCTCACTCAGGGTCTAGGGTTGAGGGGTACAGCAGCAGGAAGCTCTGGAATGGGTCTCTCACGCTTGGTTTTAAGCGTCAGCGTTTGAGGCCTTGGGGCTCCAAGGGCGGTTAAAAGCTTAGCGCCTTAGAGTCTCAGCCGATAGCCTCCTAACCCTAAACCCTGAATCCTAAATCCTAAACGCTTTAAAAACCCAAACAAGGAGCCTCTTAGCACCCAGCCTCGCCGCCGATCGCGGCTCCGACGATCTCGGCTCCGGCGGGTTCGGCGCTCTGCAGCGAGGTTCGGTTTTAAGGTAGGAAAGAAAGAATATGGGTAGTTCTGAAAACCAAGGCCCGTTTTTGGATCCCGTTTATATGGGTGCCGTGCGATTTGGGGGATCTAAAAAGGGGTGCTGATATCAGCACCCCTGTTCTAGCTGGTCTTATAGTACAAGTGTTTACATGTATACCGCAAAACCCCTATTCTATTTCGCTATGAAAGGGCTCCTGTATACAACTTAAAACCTGAAACTGTTAGCCGTAAAGTTTGAAACCTGAACCCTGTACAACTCAAGCTCTATACTCCCAAACCGGAAGACCAAAGCAAGAACGCCCAGCCAAGCAAGACTTCCTCGACCTCTTGGCTTTGGAGCCTAGAGGTTTTGCGTTTATGGGGTTTAGGGTTGGGGTTGTGAAGGTCCGGGGACTCTTCTAGTCTCTAAGGCTCCGGCGCCGATTCATTTGCCAAGCACAAGACCCTAATAAGCCTAAAGCACTGAAGGCAACAAAACTCTGAAATCCACAACTTCACCACCGCGAAACCCTAAAGCGTCAATCTTTTAACGGCCCCCAAAAGCACTCGCGGTGCCTATGGAAACCTTGCTGAAGTCCTGTAGCACCCTCGGACAGCCAACAAACCTTCGAAGCCTCAACACTCAAAACCCTAACACCCTCGAGCCCTAAAGACACCAAAGCCTAAACCCTCGAGCCGTAACCATAGAGCTCGTTCTGAAACCTCGAATGGAGATCCCCCACAGTGCACCAGGTCAGATCTTCGGACTACTCCGGACCTTCTGGTGAAAACTCGGCACCCTGCGACCTCAAACGTAGTGGTAAGGACCACGAGCATGAAACGATTCATCCAAAAAGCTACTCCACTTACGGGTCCCTATAACACCGAACTCTTTAAACAATGAACCCTACGCCCTAACTCCTTCGCCTATATATGTTGACAAAGGTCAACCCTAACCCCTAATGCATCCCCCCCTTGGTATGAAGCCTCGGCTGCGATCTTTCTTGTCGTCCTCACGTGCAGAGAGCGTGTTGCCGCTCTTTCCGAAAGAGGGTCCCTTGCCGGGGCCCACTCCCCAAAAGTACATCATCAAGTTTGACTTGTTACGACCACCATGACACAGGATCTTGGAATCTTGCTCCCCAGGAGCCGAGCACCTTAACCGTTCAGTGTTTGTGAGTGAACATGTACGTATATACATAAGCATACTTAGTAGCACTTGTACTGTGTGTACACACATGCAGTATAGGCAGTACGTACATACATAGATACATACGTACATACATGTACAAATATACCTACATACATCTCTGTGTGCATATATATATATATATAAAGACATAATATGTACTTTTAGACCATCCTCAAGCCCCCAAACCCTACAGTCCAAAAGATATCGGAAAGCCGTCACACCCGAAACCAGAAAACATCGACCAGCCCACGGAATGAACATCTCAAGTCCTTGTCTGCTTTGTCATCCTTGCCATTTGAGGCCTTCTTCTTGTCCTCCTGGTGGATGCTGGGTAGAACTGTGATCCGCAAGTGTGATTCCGTCAATTCTGAGAGTCACTGAATTGCCCTAAACCCTATAAACCCTACAAAACCCAAAATCCATTACAAACTGAATCCTAAACCCGATAGCTCTTATAAACCTTAGTTTGGCGCCCTCCCAGGGCCAAGAATGGAGCAATAGAAGGAGACCTCCGTTTGCGGAACCCCATCTATGTTGTAGATCATTTCATGGGGGGTTTAAGCGGTTTAGGGTTTAGAGATTTAGGTGGTTTAAAGGGTCTGGGCTGGACCTTGAACAGCAGCTTTTCGGCTCAGCGTTCGGGCCCCCAAAGTTCGACGAAAGCAAAAGGTATGCTAGTTGGAAGCACGAGGAGACTGAGTAAGCTGAGGACAGGCACGACAAAAACGCACCCTCAATGGGATCCTACTTAGCAACAGCTAAGACCTGTTCGCCCTTATTCCTGCAGCGTCAGCTCCACAGCCGTGACGTCTCTCACGCCGGAAGAGAGAATTCGACAATTTAAATCGCGAAAGCATCGAACGAACAAAATCAAGTTGTAAGTGCGTCAACTACGCTCAGCATGAGTTTTCTGGAGTGCCAAGCCTCAACCCCGGAATATCATAGCTTACAACCTTAGAGCCTAGCCTTTCATGGGGAAAGTGTATTTTGTCCTTGCTCCAGTTAACACCTCTGTCAATCCCCAAACCCCGAACCTTGAAAGGGACCAGGCTTTAGAACTTATCCTAAATTGATGCTCCTCTGCGGCCTCTGCCTTTTCTTTTCGCACCCGTTCCACAGATGCTTTCCTCAAGCCACACTTCATACATTCCTGCCGGCAGAAGAATCTCGACAGCATGATTGGGCGTGTAGGGTGTAGTGTAGGGAATAGCCATCATGATGGCAACGTTGGTTAATGACAATATTCCATATCGCACAAGGTTAGCAGCACAGGCTTACTAACTTAATCTCTGGCATGGGCAAGGCAGCTTGGCCTTTGGGTTAAGGCTTAAAATCTGGGGCCGAAAAATGCAGGGTTTTGGAGGCCTTTACGCTACAAGGGTTAGAGTTCTGGGGGTTTGGGCTTCAGTGCGCCATTTTGGGGCCGCCCAGAAGAGGATCCTACTGAAAAGTTAGAAGACAGGTAGTGTCAGCAAATCCCATATGAGGAGCACCTGAGGCTAGCGCAGTTGCAGCGGTGCGTCAGGATTTCTCACTTGAGGCATCCAAGGTTTGGGATTTGGCCCGATGTGCTACGTATCCAGGATCTTCGAGCTCGTCGCCCTGAATGCCCAATGCATCACTATTTGACCACTACGCAACTAATTCCTAGTGCTACTGATGTTTGTTATTGTTGTCGCGACGGATCTGAGTACCATGATTACGCGTATTATGATCATGCTTCGTGATGTCCTGAGTACTAGAGCATCGCTGCTATCAACATGTGCTGTGCCTGCCTCCTTGTTTGCAAAGTTGTGGAAGCCGCATGAGGGGCCTTTGGGCAGTCTGCTGCTCAAACGGATGTAAGTGCAGGGTTTCAGCTTTATAAGATTTAGGATGATGTTCTCACAAAGTGGAACATTGAGCGGGACAGTGCATTAACCTTGCTTGCAAACCGCTTTGAGGTATCACACGGACTGACTGGCAACCTGCTCAGAACAGTCAAATTGCTCCCAGGTATGAAAAGGGGTGTATACATTCTTTGATTGAATTTTGCAGTATGGCATCGGATGCGTTGAATAGTTGGGTTTGCGGACTTTGGGCCCGCTACTTTAGGCTGACACTGATATATGGGGGGAGGGGGTGGAATTTCGTAATTAGTGTAGGGCGTTGGGGATTGCGATGCACTATACATGAAAACGTTTTGCAGGCAAGGCTCATACTTTTACAGATCCTTTCTTAGTCACGGGTTCAAGCACTCAACACGACCTCGCATGCTCGGAAGCCAGGGTCCTGAATCCCAAAACCTTCGAATGCACATTTGGGCACGTAGTTCGTCGTAAACCCTGAGCCCTGGGCTAAGCTGCACCCAAAATCCTCAAGCAGAAACAATCCACCCACCTCAACCGCTTCAGCCAAGCAGCAGTCCCAGTCACCTTCCCTTCGCGCCTCGGGATTGTTAGGGCATCTCTTCGGTCAGCCCTGTGCCTCTTTCAAAACGTTACGGTACATGCGGCATATGTATGGTGATGGCCACCTTTACTGACCAGCTTTCGAATTCTTGTTCATGGAGCCATCAACCTGGAAGCGCAGAATGGGACCGTGAGCAAGCGTCTCGAGCGTTTGAGATAGTCGGGTTTGACAGTTCGGAATGCGGTGTCGATGATGGGTATCCTCATCCCTCCTACTTTGTCCCTTCTGCCGATGCCCATTTTACCTCCTATGAAAGTTGTTCCGCCTGGTCAAACCCGTAAGCCTGAATTCCCTAAACCCGCACATAGAGCGTTTTGGGTTTAGGGCGTAGGGCATACGAGTTTCTCTTGAAGGTTTGTTCCAAAGCTCACTGCAACGCAAGCCCGATCCCGAAAACCTACCAGCCCCAGAGCCTATCCAACCTCCCCCCGTTCGCACACCCTAAACCACCTGTCCCAAGCTCTGCCTGCCGAAACTATCTAAGGCTCTGACTGACTTTTATATTTATATGTGCAGAAAATGTCAAATTCCAAACTGCCCTGCGGCAGTCGATGCGGTGGTCAAAACCCCTGACAACAACTTAATCCCGGAAATGTAGAGTATACAGGCTCCGACAACAGAACCCGAAAGACGGACACACCCGAACCCGAAAGACCCAACTTGGCCAGGGCTCGTTGCTTGGAGGAGGCACCTTAGCGGTCAGTGACTGGTGTAGCAAAGCTTCGAATTGAGGGATGCTGAGGGGTTAAGGGATTTGCGATTCTTTTAAGGCTTATAAACCCTTAAACCCCTATAAGTAGGTTTAGGGTAGCCCTAAACCCTAAACCCCTTTTTGGGGGTTTGGGGTTTGGGCTGAGGGGCTTAGACTTTAGGGCTTCGAGACCCCAACTTGGAAGCTTGGGGGATACGTGGGAATAGGACGGAAAGGAACAAGTCTGAACTCGAAGCCTGAAGCTCAAAAGCCTAACCTGAAAAAACAGTCTGCAACCTTTTTGTATGTTTGCCCTCTGTCCGATTCGAATTCGGGGGTCGGGTTAGATCATGTTTGGAATTTCTATTGGTCTTCGGGGTTGAATGCTTGGGGCTTGGGGTCATTTGTTGACCAGCGAGCTTCGTCTGCAACAGTCGCGTTCGTAATGCGACTTCGGCCAAAACCTTTGCTCGGACAGGCGATTTCGGGTTCATCTGAAGTAGTGAAGTAGTGAGGTGGCTCAACAAGACGGCACATAGCCCTATAACATTCGATATCTTCTCCCATGTCAATGCCCTCCATCTAGTAGCCTCAAAGCCAAAATCCATGATAAGTGCCTGTAAGCCTGACTGGCCTGACTACGACATGCCTTTTTGTCCCGAGCCAGGGCACATAGCGCGGGGGTGGCGAGTGGCTGCTGCGTATATAGCGCTCTACCTGCACTACTGGCTCCTTTTGGGTTTAGCACCCGCAACCCTAGGATCGTTTATGGGTTTCGGGATCTGCTTAACCCTTGAAGCCCTTTACATCCATACTTTACAATGTCAAACATGCGTTGGGGAATGGTTCTTGTTTGGGAGAAGCTTGTGCTGTTTAGCCCTGAGTGCAGTGTTGGCTATAGCATGACCAAGCTGAATAAATCTGCGGGGTTGGGCTGCTTGGTCTGGCTTTGAGGCAGCCGCCGCGCCGGGTCCGAAGGTATAAAACTTAGCAAACCCTTAGAATCCCTTGGAGACTCGCTCAGGTCCGTGATTTCCAATGGAACCAGAAACAGCTTTCCAGGTTTGCTGGCCCTCAGACCCTGAGGACGAGACGGCCGACCCTGAACTGCCAAAAGCCAGGGAATTCCAGCCAACGAGATAAAAACGTTAACAAACCGCCAATAGGCCCCTTGCAAACCATAACCCCGAAATGGTGTGCCCCGACAAAAAAGCACCAAAACTATGAACCGTTGTATAAACACTTGAGAGCTCTACGAATAGTTGCAATACAATTCCTAACCACCCCCAGACCCTATTCGTATTCCTATAGTACAACCCACCAAAATCCTTGTAGAACCCTCTCGATGCCCGTAAGCCCCTATCTAAAAGCCTTGGTTTACGAACCCCCCCTCCAAGTGCATGCCGAATCAGGCCGCCTCGATCGCACGATCTTTGCCCTGGATTGATGGGCTTAGGGATTTAAGGTTTAGGGGTTTAGCGTTTTGGGATTAAGGGGATTAGCGCGATTAGGGCTTATGTATGGGGCCTAAGAGTTTAAGAGTTTAGGGCTCAGTTCCATTTTTCTAATTTTGTGAATAGGGCTTAGGTTTTGCGCTTTGCGTGGCGGCATAAGGATTTCGGGGCGGTAGAAGTTGTTTTACTGTGCTTACCGTTCGGGAGGTTTAGGTTTCAGGTTTGGGGTGGTCTTAAGGGTTTCAACGGCTTTGTACAGCCTCATTGGTGTTCCAAGGATTTGGGGCTTTCAGGGTTGGGGTTTGAAAGGGCAGAGTGGGGTTTGCTCGTCGAGCCCAGTGGCAGCAACCTGGAAACTAAGTAACTCGGACTCACCTGCGGGATCGTGTCTACGAATCTTGAAAGGGTCTGCGTACTATCCTGAAAACTGAACCGTGCAGTATGCGTTTCTCCGCTTCTCACTGGTGTCTAAAGTTTACAGGCTGATGCCCGATGCTCATGATGCTCGCTACCACTGCTCTGTGTTTCAACAGTCCCTCCTCGGGCTGATGCCAATGATGCTCGCTCTCTGTGCCCCGCTGGTCAAAAATCTTCCGGCTGATGATCATGAGCTCGCTCTCTGTCCAAAGTCTAGCGGTTGATGCTCATGATGCGTGCTCGCTCTCGCTGCCCCGTTGGCAAAACTCTGCCGGCTGATGCTCATGATGCTCGCCCTCGCTGCTCCGGTCATGTCAGATCTCTCTGCTGACGCTCTTAACGCTCTGCTCTCTTGGTGTCAACAGCTTCGCTTGCGCTGATAGCAAATCTACCTTCCGATCCTCATCATGCTCGCTCTGGCGGGTCTGCTTTGGTCAAGGCTCGCCCTCGCTGCCCTGTTTGTCGCGGAGACTGTCCGATGCTCATGATGCTCGCTCTCGTTGCTCCAGTGATCAAAAGCTTCTTGTTGATGCGAACGATGCTCGCTTTCACTGCTCCGCCTGTGTCGAAGGTCTAGCGGCTGATGCTCATGATGCTCGCCTCGTTACTTCGCTTGGGTCAAGAAATGCTCCCTTGTGATGCTGATGATGCTCGCTCTCCCTCGCAGTCCACATGTTTTGCAATCCTTTGGGCGGCAGAGCCCAATCGACCTTGAGGATCAACCCAAACGAGTTCATGATTCAGATAACTGTCTCAGCGCAAGCCTTCCTCTCGTCGTACTCCATCACGAACTTTACCTGGCATTTCTGGTGGCTAAAAGCTTAAAGCATGGACGCTGTTAGCTTCGTATCCAAGGCTTTCGAGTTCCAGATTTACGATTGAGGGCCTTAGCTCGAAGCTAAGCTTGCAACACGGAGCCCAAAATGCCATCACCACGAAATTCCTAAAAATAGCAAAGAACCCTATATAAGCCTAAGCCCGGAGACATGTACATAGACATGTACATACACATAGACATACATAGACATATATATATATATATATATTCATGTACATATACATATACATATACATATACAAATACGTATACAAACACATACACATACACATGCACATACAAAAATGCATACATGCATGCATACATACCTGCATGCATACATGCAGACATATATTCATACACACATACTTACGTACTTACTTTCTTGCATAAGTATACACACTTACATGCATGCATGCATGCATGCATGTATGCATGTATGCATGTGTATGTATATATATGTATGTATGTATGTATGTATGTATGTATGTATGTATGTATGTATGTATGTATGTATGTATGTGTGTGTGTGTGTGTAAACCTATATGTGCGATTTGCACACATGATAAAAAAACTTGGTGGAGTA